GGTGGGGTGGGAACCTGGTGGAGGGGGGAAGAAATGAGGAACCTTTGTAATAATATGAACAATAAAGATTGATTTAAAAAAAATAAAGATAATACCTAGGACTTTTAAAAAAACGATCATTCTGTCTCTTGTGGAAATGAATGACTTCATCAGAAAAAAAAAAAAAAGGAAGCATTTTTAAGTGACTATAAAGTTTAGGACTTGGGAGCCCAATTGGTTATTTCCTTTGTATTTTATTACTGACATTTGTAAGTTTGAAAGTGAGAAGGTCTGAAACATGAGTGGCAGGTCAGGAAGATGGTTTTGTTTTATTGAATTTGGATTTATGGATCTTAATTCTGGGTAGTTATGCTATGAAAAGGATGGGTTTTTGGCTTGGGATGGAGGGCATCTCACAAAATTGGGAAATAATAATTAACTCAGGAGTTTACCAGATAACAATAATTTATCCATGGAACTTGTCAATGTGGGTTATTGTGTATTCCTCATGGACTTCTTGTGCCATCATAATGATGTAGGGTCCTTCTCAGGGAACATGATACATATCTGTCACTTTACAAGTGATGCTATCTTTAATCACCTAATAAAGTGGTATATCCCTCGCCCCCCCTTAACTATGGGGAAACTATGTTCCAAGACCCCCTAGTGGATACCTGAAATCACAGGTAGTACTGAACCCTATGCTATTTTTTCCTATACACACATGTCTATAATAAAGTTCAATTACAAATTAGTCAATTTTATGGATAGAATATTCATTCTTACCATAGATCTTAGCAACCTCGGCATTATTATTTTTCTCTCTTAATCTAGAACTTTTACCTTTCACTTAACAAAATTACCTATAGCTTCTCTTTAGCATATCCTAATTGCCAGCATCTCTACTCTTACACTTTGAGGCCATTATTAAGTGAAATAAAGGTTATTCCAACACCGTACTATGATACTGAAACAGTTGATCTGGTCACTAAGATAGCTGCTAAGTAATTAATGAGCACCTAAGATATACAGTGTGGAGACACTGGACAAAGGAATGAGTCATGTCCTGGGTGAAACAGAATGGATGGGTCAAGATTTCACCATGCCACTGAGAATGGTGGTGCGATTGAAAAGTTATGAATTGTTCATTCCTGGAATTTTTCACATAAAAATTTTGGACAGCGGTTGGCTGTCTGTAATTGAAACCTAGGAAAGTGAAACTGTGGATAGGGTAGAACTACTTATTACTGTTTCCTTAGTAAGTATTATAGGGACCTACTTGGGGACTACATAAAAATCTTGTTTCTCATCATACTTTCACTGAATTATTACAGTTTTTCTTTGTGCTTCTTCCCTGAACTAATTATTACTGTCATGTTTTCCAGAGGGTAGTTTTCTATTTCCATTATTCATTCTATGGTCATTAGTTATAATTGATCTTGGACATGCTTTACAAATTCCCTTGACCTTTACAGACCTAGATCATTCTTAGTTAAAGGGGGGAAAAAAATAAAATGTTTATCTACCACTTATTTTGTGTTGTTTTTATTATCAAAACACATGGAGACCACCAAAGGTGAAGGTGCCCAGGCAAAGACATGGAGAAGAGGGAGCATGTTTCATGTGTTTGCATTCACTCTTGGCTTTCTGAGTCTTCCTCAGCTAAAATAGTTTATTCTGCCAAGGAAACAGAGGCATTTTTAATATGTTATTTATCCTGTAATCATCACTGTAAAGTAATAATGAATAGCAATTGTCACTCCCATTCTATAGATGTGAAAAATGAAACCCAGGAATGTAGATACACTCTCTCCCCCCCCCCCCCCCCCCCCCCCCCCCGAACTAGATAGTGGCCCAACGGGGACTAATTTCTAGTGCCTGCAGTCTTTTAGTCCCTATCTGGGACTGTTCCAAAGTTTTATGGAAAACATGATACCTCAAGAAAAGATGTTGCTTTTGAACAAAACCATTATGAGTAGGACTGTCCTTCTTTTGGCAAATTGTTATGTACATTTTATCCATTACAATCCAACCTATTATCTGCAAACAACAGTAATAGTTATTTAAATAGAAGATTCTTACAGACATCAATTGAAAATTACTTTTATAACTTGAAGCTGAATTCTTGATTTATGACCTTATATTCTAAATACGGAAACTTCCAGAATGTCTAGGAGGGGCAGGTTAACAGAACATTACTGTGTGGAGCAGAATCCTCACTCTTCAAAGAATCCAAACACAAAGATGAAGGAAAAGCAATTATTTCTTTAAAAATCACAGTGTCTTCCATTAGTATGAACAGCAATATAGTCCCATTGAAAAAGGAGGTAGGAGGTCAGCCAATTAAAAAAAAAAAAGTCATTTTCTATGTTACCTTGTTTTCTTGTCACTTAATTTTTTTTCTCCTAAAAATACCATGTAGGAAAAAGAAATTATAGATTAAGGTGGACTTTTTGGTAAGTGGTATTTTGAATTTAAAAAATTACCCATATATCTGTTGTTTAACATCTTTTCTTCAGGGCTCCAGTGATTAGATTCCACTACTGGGATAGCAAACACCTGCACTTGCACACAGAATCTCTGAGTGCCTGGGCATAGGCACTCCTGCTTTTGGTCATTTTGTTTTATTTTTAAGTCATTTGTGACCCCAGTGTTTGTCCCGATACCTGGCACAAAGTAGGCACTGGATAAATATTTGCTAACCGAGGCACTGACCCACCGACAGCCAGACTTAACATCCAGGGTGAGGGCCCAGCCTAGGCCTTCCTGAATTCCTGGAATTTTTTTTCTTATTTCAAAAACAATACATGCTCATTATATAAATTTGTAAAATAGAGAAACTCATGCACACAAAAGAGAGTGAAACTCTCTTCATCTTACTAGCCATAGAGATGATTATGCCTTATGATAAGCATTTTCCTATTTATGAAGTATTCTTCAAAAACATGTTTTTAATGACAATAAAACTATCCATTGTGTGGATGAGCCACATCTAACCATTTCCTTGTTGGGGTCATGCAAATTCTTTACAAGTTGCCACTATTGGAGATGATGTTGTAATGTTACACATTAAACTCCCTGACTATTAAAGCTGATTATCAAGTTACTTTCCAAAAAGATTATATCCATTTAAGAGCAAATGCTAGTGCCTCGGATATTTTCAATGCTGACAGTTGAGAAATGAGGGTATTGAGGCAAACCCTTTCTTTTTAAACAGCCTCCAGTATGATGAGAGTGAACTAATGTTTTCCTCCAAACTTAGTAACTCTGGGCCCCTGTGAAGGGAAGAGTAAACCACAGGGGGATGGATAATTTGGAAAACATGCCTGGAAACCTCAACCTGAATTGAGAAGAGACCATTAGCCCTTCAAATAAAAGCTTGTGAGATAAAGTGAAGGAGAAATGATGTCCCAAATTGAGTGATTAATAACACAAAACAGCTAATATCATTATGATAATTATCATCACTGTATTCATGGCCTCAAATCAAGAACTGTTTTCTCTTTACACAAGATAAAATCATGCCAAATAAAAGGGGAAAGTAATGGGGAGAGGAGTCAGACAAAGGAAAGAGCGCTAGTAAAAAAAATTAACAGTCATTTCTACTCTGAGGAATATATTTGTCTCATTCTAAAATAAAAACATCATTTTCAAAAATAATACATAAGGAAAACCAAAACTTTCAAAAATCACTTGCCATTATCATAAAGAAATTCCATTCTGGTGCTTGTTTTTTTGTTTTTTGTTTTTTGCCAGTGTGTATTTCACCTCAGAGACTGGTAGACCAGGTGTCTGACTGAGAGCTTTGCTCAGTACCTACTGTAGGTATCCCAAATGCAGCATGCACACATTTCTTTATTATATCAGCATTGAAAATAACTCTGAGCTATTATGAATATCTAAAGTACTATCACAACAGAATAGCTTAGCTACTTTTATTTTTATTTTGTTGTTAATCCTTGCCTGAGGATATTTTCCCATTGGTTTAGGGAGAGTGGAAGAGAGAGGGAAAGCCAGAGAGAAATATTGATGTAAGAGAAGCATATTGAGTAGTTGCCTCCTGCATATGCCCCAACCAGGGCTTGGGCTGGAGAGGAGTCTGCAAGCAAGGTATGTGCCCCAGGACCCTTTGGTCTGCAGGCTGAAGCTCTATCCACTGAGCAAAACTAGCTAGGGCTAGCTTAAATGTTTTAAATTTAACCCTTAACAGGACAGTTTATTTCCAGGTTTCCAGTTGAGCAAAGGCTACACTACTTGAAATTATGTGGAAAGTTCTAGAGATAGATCCTGGGCTCTGAGCCAGTCATGTAGTGGGAAACCACCATTTTAGAAAGTGGGATTTTTTGGATACAGCGGGAGTAAGGTTGAAATCAATCTTCATGTGGGACAATTTTGCTGAAAAGCTTGAGTAATTGACCTTTTATTTTACTTTTGTGTTTTCACGGATTGTCATGAATCCAATTCCAGCTTATTTTCCAATCACAAGCCTATTTATTATGTTTTATAGCTTGATGGCTCATGAATGAACTTTGTAACCATCATTAGTAAAAACAAAGATATTCTGTGGATTTGGGTGAATGTATTTTGGGAAGAAGCATTGATCTTAACTTTCTTTGTAAATTTCTTTATATAGTCTCATGCTTAACCTTGCAATTCTTAGTTCATAGTTAAAGACAGACCGCCAAAAGTGGATTCCAAGCCACCATAGTTTTGTTACAAAATACACTGCAAAGCCAATGGTATGAGAGCCATGCTGTCCGGGGATAAAGAATGAGTCCTATTTCTAGGGCCTTGTTCTTCCCTTTGACGAGGAAGTGAGATGGAGAGGAAGATGTAAGATGTGTAGCCACTTCTAAATGATGTAGGATATATTTTTTCTATTGATAATTTCCTTTTTAATGGTGGTGGCAGATCTGAAAGTTCTAAGCTGGAGTAAAGGTCTAAGTAGCTGGGATTTGAGGCAAAGAGTGCAAATCTATGGTCTGGGCTCTGGAGCAGCTAAAGGAAGTAAAACATTTCCATTTTCTTCCTCTGATCCCCATGCTTGTGTGCCTCCCGATGCCATTTTAGCTTCCTTAGTTCCACTCAGCCAGCGGCTGGGCCTGGAGTTAATGAGAAAAGATGATTTAGAGCAGTGGTTCTCAACCTTTTTAATGCCAAGACCCTTCAATATAGTTCCTCATGACCCCCAACCATAAAATTATTTTCGTTGCTACTTCATAACTATAATTTTGCTACTGTTATGAATCATAATGTAAATATCTATGTTTTCTGATGGTCTTAGGTGAACCTGCTAGCAGTTCTCAACCCACAGGTTCTCGTGACCCACAGGTTGAGAACAGCTGCTGTAAAGCCTAAGACCATCGGAAAACACAGATATTTACTTTATGATTCATTAAGAGTAGCAAAATTACAGTTATGAAGTAGCAACGAAAATAATTTCATGGTTGGGGGCCACCACAACATGAGGGACTGTATTAAAGGGCCGAGGAATCAAAAAGGTTGAGAACGACTGATTTAGAGGACACTATTGATTATATACCCATATCTCACCATCCCCCTCTCAGGGGACTCCCATTTTCATTTTAGTTCACATGATCACCCATGTATTTTAAGGGAAGATGACCTCAATTTTAAGTCTTAGTTGGCTTAACTCAATCAGCTCATTCCATTCCCAAAGTAAGGTCGTTGGTTCAGGGGTGAGCATATAACTTACAGGGTCCAATCAAGCTCAGTCTCAGGACTCCTGCTTGGAATCCTGTGGCTGGGATTTTCTATTTCTTTGCCTAGATGCCAGAATGTTCAGGAACTACCACGGTCCTTTTGCTACCTGAGAAAAATGACCTAAACATGATGTTATCAAATGGGAGAAGCACACACAAAGGAGTTGCAGAGAAATGGAGCAGGAGCTCCTGGGCTAAACTGACTCTGAACTTCCAGTTACATGAACACATGAATGTTTTCACTGTTCAGTCCAGTTAGGAAAGAGTTTCTGTGTCTTACAATCTTTACAGAAGGTTGGAAGTCTTAAATTGAGGCATCATAGTCACACCCATGGGGGCTGTGTCATCCTGCTGACATGGAATGAGTAGCCAATTACTCATATTAACCTAGAATGTAGATGAAATGTTATACACTCCCAGTGAGCAATACTAGAAAACAAAGTTCTTCAAGGATACAGTACTGTATAAAAGGAGAGAAAGGTCTGTATTCCATCATCGACCCATCATTTATCACATATTTTTGTGCGAAAATATGCTCCGGCTTCCAAACAAGCAATTTATTAATAAATTTGGGGGGCCCTCTAGGTCTCTGGTGTCTCATGAGGGTGTAATATTAAATGAAGTTTAAGGCATCTTCTACCTTTAACATCCTATGATTCTTTGTTACCAGTTTATTTTAAGTAAATACAAGCAAATCCCTGTAATAGGGCAGCATTCTTGAATAATGTGGCATTTGAAGCTTGTTCGTTTCCTGTTCAGCAAGCTATATCTTGTTTGTTTTCACAGAAGTTGAAGATTTGCCATTCTTATTTTAACCATTTTTGAAATTGTAGCATAGTGCTCAGATCTTGCCTCTAAATATTTATTCACAGGATACCTTATTTCCTACAGCAAACTAAATTTTTGAGTTGTCAGTTTTATGGAAACCTGAAAGATCCATATAGGTTCACGTTTCTAAGCAAACACAAATAGTAATTTCCTTCTTCTCCATCCAAGGGTTAGTCAAAGCAGGGATTTTTTTTTTTTTTTTTTTTTTTTTTTTTTTTTTTTTTGCTAAGAATAGAGATATTTGACATCTTTAGACAGCTTCAACACAAAAATGTAATGGTTCATAATACTTTTGCTTCAACACTTAATTTATAAATTGAAAAACAAACAGCCAAGTGAGCTTAAAGAATGCATTGAAATAAAAAGAGCCATGCTTAGAATCACGATTAGGCAAAACCTACCTTACCTATAGGTATGGCAGGTGATTTACCTGTTAGAAATTAAGTATTCCTTTGATAATCTCTCTATCCCCCTTTGCCAAATCTTTCCCTCTAGACTAAGAAATCTGAAATTCCACAATCACTCCTTTAAAAAAGAAAAAATATATATATTTTTTATTGGTTTTTTTACAGAGAGGAAGAGAGAGGAATAGAGAGCTAGAAACACCGATGAGAGAGAATTATCGAACAGCTGCCTCTTGCACCCACCCACCCCCCAACTGGGGATGTGCGTGCAACCAAGGTACATGTCCTTGACCAGAATTGAACTCAGGATCCTTTAGTCCGCAGGCCGATGCTCTATCCACTGAGTCAAACCGGTTTCGGCAACACAATCACTCCTTTAAGAAATCATACTACACAACGTCCCCAGTGAAACAATATATTACCCCAAACGGTTGGCTTTTAGCCCATTAACTCTCAGGAACATACTAGCTTAGATCAGACCTTGTGGTCACCTGTTTGGAAGAGGCAGGAAGGGAAGAATTTAATGTGGGGTAGTATGATGAGAGCACCTTTGGGTTACACAGCACTGGGTATGGGAACATGGGATCAAAGACAATTGGGTGACTTGGGTTTCCTATATATATATATATATATATATATATATATATATATATATATATATATATATTTTAATATATTTTATTGATTTTGTACAGAGAGGAAGGGAGAGAGATAGAGAGCTAGAAACATCGATGAGAGAGAGAGTCATCGACCAGGTGCCTCTTGCACACCCCCTACTGGGGATATGCCCGCAACCAAGGTACATGCCCTTGACCGGAATCGAACCCGGGACCTTTTAGTCCCCAAGCCGACGCTCTATCCATTGAGCCAAACCGGTCTTGGCTCCCCTATATATCTTGATTTAATTTTTCCTTTCTGAGTTTCAGAGGGTGCCAATTGGAATAGATCTTCCTTACATATCACTCCCATTCTCTGCTCTTTTCTTCCTTATTATATGGTCATCTACAAAGAAGTCTCCCTAGGGCCCCTGTGCTATGGCCAGGTGTTGCTTTGTAAGTAACAGAACAGTTGCTTCTCTTCCCTGAAGCACTTACTTAGGGTTATGTCCGGGATTAGGCATTTTTAGTGAGCCCCTGAGTTGGAGGGAGGAAGTGAGGGACAATTATTTCACCTCTTCCTCATCTCTAGCCTGCAGTCCCTGTATGAGTGTGACAGATGAAGCAATCAAGAGAAAATATAATACAGGCATCTGCTCTTGGTGTTGTAGAACAGAAGGACAGTTGAATTGATATGAGCCTAGAACTTTGTTATGAAGATATTTGGGATGCATCTAATCAGGTAGGTATTTTATGATGGCTATCCTTTAAAAAAGTATTCTGTAGGGCAGTACTCCTGTGTAGTGTTGTGTGAGTTTAAATTAGTTTCCTTAGCAGTTCTTGCCCCATTTCTCATATATTAGGGGGCTTCCAGGGAGGGAGGACCCATGGCATGAAGGATGCTGGTTTTCTTCAGATAGGGCACCAGTTCTCACAGTAGGCATGTCTTCACCAATGAAAAGAAGTTTGAACTTCCTACAACAACATGGCATTGGAAGTATTCTTAAATTGAGCTCAGTAAAAATTAAAGGAATTTGACATTTTATTTGAATGATCCCTTCGAAGGTGACCCTCTTTTCTCTTTTGTGGTATGAGCTTATCCTATTTTATTTTTGGTAGGTGCCAGCCATAAATCTGTTCTTTTGTTATACCTAATGGCAAAGGGCAGTTGCTTTCAAGACTGAAATCTGTTCCTCGATACTGGAATGAAGGAAACAAAAGAGGAACATGCACCCAGCACTGAAAATGGAAGTTACCCCTCTGCTTTATGTTCACGGCCCTAGAGATGCTAACTTTTTTTGTTGTTTTTTTTTTTCTGCTAAAATTTAATACATTGTTGATTTGTACTCTTCACATTAATTCTTCTTGTAAAGTATTCTTTCTAATAGGTTTAATAAAGTATTGGTTATTACAGAATTCTGAATATAGATAATATAATGCTCTTAAGTGGGTGAATTAGGAGAAAAAATGTGGAAAGCATTTTGAAGCTGGAGGTAGTGGAACATAGTGAAATATAAAATCCATCAAAACTGAGAAGAATTCTGGAAAGTAAAGGAACTATGCCGGCTGTAACAATAGCCTCATGATATCTCTTTTAAGGACCAAGCCTATAAGGGCCACAGGCTACCGTCAAGATTGTTTTGTATTGGGACTATTGATCACAAAATCCCCATAAACTATCACTGCTGGAATTCATGCTTTGGGCTTGGAGCACTGTATCTGAAAACTTTCAATATTTTCATATTTAACAAGCATAGAGATGGTATGTGTCAGTGGGGACACAAAGATGAAGGAGGCATGGTCACAGTGAAGTACAAGGACACAGTAAAGATGAGCCACCTGCCATCCACCACATGTCACAATGACCACAGTGCTGCCTGAGCGTGAAGAGGGCAGCTGTGACTGTGGGAGTGTGGTGGGGTGATTGGAGATAGAAGGGGGCAGTTGTGTGATGGAGACACATGTGGCAGCCTTCACTGATTTTGTGATGGGTTTTGTGGTCATTAGAGTCATACCAGTTGTGACTGTGGGTGCAAGTTGGGGTGCTCATGAGGACAGAATGGGTGGTGCAACACCGGACCAAGTTCTAACCATCACGCCGTGCTTCCTTCCTCAAGGGAGAAAGTGTGCGACTCTACCAAAAAGAAAAACCTTTAAAATTTATTAGACATTAACATATTGGTGCCTTGAAAGAGCTTTACTGCCTCTGCAATCTTCACATTTACCTGTCTATAAACATGATATGCTGGGCGAAAGCCTACGACTCCATTCACAGGTCAAATTATTGGCACATTTTTCATTGTGAAAACAGCACATTGGAAGGTTCCACATATAGAAAGCATGAGTTTATGTTGCTAAATAATCCCCAGTAGGAAAGGTCTGACATTCTCAAAGGCTCTCCTCTCCCCCATTTATGCCTTTGATCACTTCCTACCTTTTTTGAGACCTTGGTATGCTCTCTCTTCCCCCTCATCTCTCTTCCCTTTAGAGGTGGCTTGAAATAGAAGTTTATGTTTTTACTTATTTATTAAAGAGTTCAAATAGCCTGTTTGTTGAGCCAGGCATTCTCCTAAGCACTTTGTAAGTATTAACTCACTTAATCTTCATAGCTATTTTTTGAGGTATCTACTGTTATCATCACTCTCTTTTTACAATATTAAGGAACGTGCATAAGGACACACAGCCAAAGAGAGAGCAAGCTGCATGGTTGGGATTTGAACCCAGACCTCCATAGGGTACTTAATCTAGCTGCAGTGTTGAGGGGTTGTAGAGATTCTGCTGTGGGCCCACCAGCTCAAACCTTGGCAGGCTCTCCCCCACGCACCTAGCCTTTTCTGCTTCTGCCCAAAGCATGCAGAGCTCTTCATAGGAAGATGCCTTTGAAAGGCAGAGGTTGACAGCTTTCATTGTGGATCCACACTGTGGTTTTTGGCTAGTCTGCTGGTAACTGACTTTGCAATAGTCTTTAAAAAATGGTTTAATATCCATACTGTTTTTGTTGGATAATTGCATGTCTTTAATTTGTGGTATTATAAACAGAGCAATAATCTGGCTCAGGAGTAGCCAGAGAAAGTTATTTGATATCCATTAAGTCAAGTTTCTATTTTTATTCACCTCCATAGAGGTGAGCATTATCACAGTCAGGAAAAAGCAACATCATGGAATACATTCTAGTAGGTGTCGCCTGACTGGATAGATTTTAAAAAACAATTCCTTTTGGAAGAAGGTGGGCTTCCTTCAGCTTCCTTCCTTTGCTAACAGAACAAGTAAGTATAACTTTCCCCTTAGATATTATGACAGTTCAGCTTTCTTCAGAATATAAATTTTAAAGGGAAAAGGTAAATCACACCTTGTTTAGTTCATGGACTTGGAACAGTGACTGGTCTTTAAAGACCTATTTAAACTGCTGCTACCTAAAATGTTTTCCTTACTCAAAAAGTTCTTAATAAATAAAAACATTAAATATGTAAAATAATTACTTATTTTAAACATAAAGTCCCCAGATAGTAATTATATTTGAAACAAGGGCATCCATAGCCAGTGTTTTGCTTTTCATCAGTGTTCTGTGATTTAGTTGACTTAGTATGTATTTTCATGTAAAGAATAGGTTATTTAGGTAGCATCTTCCATCAGAAGACATTTTAGTGGTCTGAAAGCTTGAGCCTAAGCTAACTGTTCGGTCTTTGGAGATAAATCACTCCTTTTGGCTAGCCCATTTGGTCTAGTATTTAGGTTAGCTTATAGGTTTCTCCTTTACCTGACAGAGTTCAAAGAGATAGATAAAACATATGTGAGGGGTCTTCCTGGGGCCTGACAAATATACAGGCAGGAAGAATGTTTGTAGTGAGTAATATTTCTACCATTTCACAGTTGGGATCACTGAGGCACTGAGAAATTAAGTGGCTTGCCCTCAATTACAAAGCTTTTAGTAGGTCCAGGAAAATCAGGTACTCATTCCAGATAATCCTGGTTTCGCATCCAATTTTCACCAATTCTCAATTTCGCAGGTTACATACAGTTCCTGTACCTGCCTACAGGTAGGTTACAAGCTGGAAGTTGGGTCTAAAATGAGAGGATGTTGCTGACATTCACTTTCTAGAAGGAAGCTACCAAGCTTTGCTTTAGCTAAAAGAGCTGACATGGAGCTAACTGTCTCCCTGGACACAACCCTCTTGGACCTGCTGGCTCTCTGCTGATCCCCCAAGGCTTTAGTGCATGAGGATTCAATCAGCCCCAGACCGCTGGCCGGGGTGGGGGGCAGGAGGACTGTAAATCTGGGAAAGCTGCAAGCATTCAGGGTCTTGAACTTTATCAGGTTTAAATGTGTGATTGTGAAAGTAAAGAGCAGAGAAATGACAGCACTCAGTAAATCAAACATAGAGAAGATCAGGACTGTCAGAGACAAGAGAAAAACAGGCGCTGGGCACAAACCCGGCTAAAAACCGGCAGGGTGGAGAAGACTTTTATGTTCTCTCCAGACTTTGCCTTTTGAAAAACAAACCTCTTTCTCTGTTTTAGAAGGCAGGGTACTGTAAGGGAAAAACCTGAAAGAAAATCAGTTGGAAAATGCCTGGAATGACCTAGATTTTCCTGTCATTAGTGTGTTCCATTTTCAGAAAAAACAAAACAAAACAAAAAAAAAACCTAGAAAAAAATGTGTTCCATAGCTCATCAGACATAATTTTTTTTATTCCATAACAACAATGTAATTAAAGTAGAATAAGTCTCCTGTATAAGTATATATATAGCAATACCAAATTGAAAGGTATAGAGCATGAGAGAAGTGTAGCTAGCTGACCAGGTCAATTTAATCAACTCTTTTTCCTCCCTGGTATCTAATGCCAGTCCTCACAGCTCCCCCCTTCATGGCCCCATCTGTTAAGTCGCTCCTATCTGCTGCCCCAAAGGAGTTCCAGGGAGAGGGTGCTGCTGTCCTGGAGCAGAGGATGAGCCTTGAGATTACTATCTCTGTCCTGCAGAAGATGTTGGTTGCTGGCATTTGCAAGGGTAACAAGGAATGTTTCCTCTTCAAAGGAATCAAAAGCAAGTAAAGGACCTTTTTGCCTCGTCCTCCTCCTCCCCCCCTTTCCGACCATAATGCAATAAATAAAGTCCTTACTGCTGGTGTGTAGGAAAAGCCTGAGACCTCTGGTGAACAGCAGTCTCCAAGACGGTCTTTCCTGGGAATTAATTTAGCTTCAGGGGACAATTAAGGGCAAGAATTAAAATGTGGTGCAGTATATAGGAATCTATTGTGCTATAGCTATTGGTAATAACAGTTCACTTTTATATAGTGTTTACTATGTGCCAAGTACTATTAGCACTTTACACACACAAAAGAAACATTTTAATCTTCTCAACAATCCTGTACTGGAGGTACTTTTAATCAGCTTAACAATAACCCACAACCTTCGGACCAACTAGGAGGTACTTTTAAAACCCTCCTTTTACAGATGAGGAAACTGAGACACAGAGAGGTGAGGTGACTTATCCTGGTCACACAGCTAGTTAAGTGGTAGGGATAGGATTCAAACCCAGGCAGGCTGGCCCAGAGTCTGGGCTTCTAGAAAGTCTCTCCGCGTGTGAACTAGAGCGACTCCCTTCTTTTCAAAGCAACCACGGAGCCCAGAGGAAAATCTGAGCCCGAGTATTTCACTAGAGAAGGAAAAAGGCTCAGACATCTCCCTCCATCTTGGAAATTCCCTGTAGTACTTGGCCTCACCAGCTCTACAGAAGTGCCGATCTTCAGACTGTAAACACTTCACTAGAGGCCAGCTCCAATTTTTCTTTTTGCAGTGCGTATGGCTGGGCAAGTGCAGGACCCTGGGTAGACAACCCTTTGGTCATAATTCTCTGCATATTTGCAGCATAGCTGAATGGAGAGGTCATATTTCTGGGTGGCAAATGCAGTAATTGTTTTTATTTCTTGGGTACTTTTTTTCCCCCTTTAATTGAATCAAGAAGGAACATTAGTTTACTTAGCAAATCTTCAAAAGCCTGTTACCTCCTTTTTCTGCCACCCCTTAACACCCTCCGGCGGGGGGGCGGGGGGGGGGAGACACACAACACCCAGTCAGAAAGGTCTCTGACCTGAGACAGCTCTGGGACAGTGGCACCTGGACCCTGACCCTAGCATTGGCATTGCCCTCACACGTAATACCAGCAGAACCCAGGGAAAGCCGTGGTTTGGGGCTTTGGAACTTGCTGCATCTCTTTCACCTTCTTGGGTGTAGAAATGATCCCTTTCTCTCTGATGATTTGATTTTTCCGTTTCCTGGGAGGCTGGGTGAGGAGAAAGGATTAGATTTCGGAGTTCACCTTATTTGGATGGGGAGAGGAAAAAAGAGAGGCATGTAATTCTGGGGCCCCGTGTGAGGTGACAGACAGAAGCTAAAGATGCTGGACTGACTTTTGGAATTCAGAGCCCTATCTCCAGCTTGGACAGAGAACAGAGAGGGGAAGGCAGAGGATAGTGGAAGAAGCCCCACCGTGGGGAAGTCAGGGTGTGTATGTCTCATGGGCCAGCCCCAGCCTTTTAAAAGCGGTAGAAAAGGCTTTTAAAAGGCTAATTCTCGGGCCTTAGCGGGGCACTTGAAAACATGGCATCATCCTCCCCAAACCCACTTTTCAGAATCAGGAAACTGAACATCCCTCGCTTCACCTTTGGCAAAAGGGAAGGGATCACCCCGAGGGCAGGGCCGGGGCCCAGCTGGCAGCCCTAGGCTTTGTGTAGTGATGCCAGTGGTAATTAATAATGATAATAAATACCACACTTCATAAAGCAAACCCAACCTGAGGATGACTGAATCACCGGACCTCTGCCTCCCACCTGCATGCTGTCAGTGTGCTAGCCCACACCCTCCCTTTAGCTTGGGTCTCATCCAGCTGCCAGGTTCCAGCCACCGTGTTCTGACTGGGGTTCAAAAGATCTGCTCCCAGGACCAGGGAGACATGGAGTCACACTGCCCCTCAGCAAAGCGGGTGGGGAGGCAGAGGTGGCTTGGCTTTGCAGTCTCCAGCAACAGACCATAATAAACACGGGATGGGGATTTAGGCCCCCCGCTGAGCTCGGTTTGGTTTTTCTGTCCTGTGCAGGGGGCTGCTCTGGGAGCCAAGCTCCCCTGGCATTTCCCGGGCCCGGGACCCCCAGGGCCTGGCACTCCCGGGTCCGGCACATTCCCCGGGAACCCGCAGGTCCCACCGCCGAGCTCCCAGGACGTCAGGGCGCACCGGGGCCGCGGGGCGGGCAGGGCGGCCGGCGCCGGCGCGGAATGTCTTTATCGGGATCCGGGAGCCACCCGCTCCTCCTCCTGTGCGCCCAGCGATCGCGGAGAGACACCTCTCCATCTTGTGTCAGGCGTCCTGGCCCCTCACAGCCACATTTATTTGGTTTACAGCGGCCTCGGGAGGAGCGGGGAGGGGACGTCTTTCGTCGGTCATTGGGTGGCCCAGATAACGAGCTTTAGGAGAGAGGAGAGAAGAAAGTGAGGAGGTTAATGGACGCGGGGAGAGGGGCTTTTACGCGGCCCCCCTCCCCGCTTATCGCATAAGGCGCTCGCCGTCCCGCGGCGCACGGAGTGCATTAAGCCGCGTAAACAGCGCGGGGAGCGGTGCCGCCGCCGTGACCTCCCGCGGGCCCCCCTCCGCGCCGGGCTGGCGGCCGCCGGGGGCGCGGGGGCCCCGGGCTGCGGGGCCGGGGGCCGCGGTCACCGCGCTCCGGGGCTCGAGCCCGGCCGCCCTGGCCCAGGCGCCCGGGGCGCTGCCCCCAAAGGGCCCGGTGGCGGCGGGGCGAGGGGGCGAGGGCGACCTCTAGGCTGCGCGGTGTTCCCGCTTCCGCCGCCACCACCACTGGACATTTCTAGAGTATATATATATTTTTTTTGGGGGGGGGGGGAGGGTCGAGAATTAAAACAAAATAAAAACAAAAACAACAATGTTCTCCCCTAAATGTATTTAGTTTCCAATTAATAGAGTTTGCAAGGAACTCCGGGCGACGGCCTGCGCGGGGCTGACAGCCTCTGGGCGGGGGAGACACGCCGCCCCGGACGCTGGCGGGAGCGGGGGGCGCCGGGGTGACCTTGTGTCCTTGGGCAAAAGCGTCGTCTCTGGGACAGGAAGAAATATAGGATAAGAGAGAAGGCGCCATAAATCTGGCTTAGAAAACACTGTTCATTTAAAAATACGTTTTAAGCCAGACACTGTGTTCTCTTTCCTTTCAGAAACGTCGCTGCTGCCGCCAGGAGCGCCGGACAACGACAGGGCCATAAGCTGAAGTTTGCGGGGCGTCCGGGCGCCTTGGGATGGGGGTCCCGGGGTCCCGCAGCGCCTCCGGAAGCGGCGCGTGACCCGGTCCCCGAAGGAGAGCCCCCGCCCCCCGCGCCATTGACTGCGGATTTCTGGCTGAATTCTAACCGGAGTGAGTGGTGCGGGCGGTGCGGCCCGAATAAATCAGTCCCGGGGGAGACAGGCCGGGCCCCGGAGCCAGCCCCTCTCCCGGCGTGGGGAGGGCGGCTGGGGAGCGCGGGCTCACCGAGGAGGGGCCACCCCTGGGGTCTAAATAGTCCCAAGAAAACACGATTTCGTTTCAGATGAGCAAACTCCACAAGAGGAGACAAGCAGAAGGAAAAGAAAAGAAAAAAAGGAAAGTGGGGAGGGGGGGCTCAGAAAAGAAACCGCGATGGAAACGCACCTATACCAAGAGCCTGCCGGTCTACCTGGAAGGCTGCGGGGGGGCTCCCGCGTTTCTCTCTAGTTCGGGGTGTGCTGCTTTTTGCGCTCCCGCTATTCTCTGCCTCCCGAGACCCGCCGGGAGCTCGGCACCGCGGCCTGGGCCGGCGGGGAGTCGTTGGGAAGGTGGAGTCCCCAGGGCCCCAGTGGGTGCCTCAGGAAAACTGCAAATTGGAGAGGTCAGGCAACCTGGCTTTCTGTCTGAATAAACGCTACGGGTCAAAGAAGTTTGTTTTATTTTAAAATTAACTGGCAAGAAAAACATTTCACTAACGATTGATTCCTTCCCTTGGTTGGAAAGCAAACCTACAAACAACAACAAAAACAAAAACAATTTGTGACCCAGCAAAGGAGCAATGACCTTCCTCCCTCCCCCTCTTCGTTTTAGGCAATGTTAAAAAGAGATTGGGAATCTGGAGGGTAAAATGCCGCCTTCTCCAGTCCTCAGGCTGGGGTGGGGTCGGTACCACCGCTCACCCACGTTCCAGTGGAACCAGCGCCAAAGCACCCTCTCACCGCTGCGGTGGAGCTGCGGGAACAGGTACTGAGGGAAATTCACAGACACCCGGGTACTTGCTAATAAATAATAATAATAATAATAAAACGCACAGCAGGAACCATGGCCTTACAGAGCTGGGTCTCCTGAGGCACAGGCACGGAGGCCTGGACTCTGAAGTAGCCAAAATATTTATTTGCTAACCGGTCTTCATTAAAAATTAGCTCACCAAAATGTGAAATTTAAAAAAAAAAATTAAAACACTGGTTTTAAGAGCAAACCTGAGAAACACTTAAAACCAGTGGAACTCAAAGGAATTCAAAGGTCCACCACGTTCCTGTAACTGCTTATAAAAGGAACTTCTGCAAAATTCAGTCTTATTTAAGAACTTGGTCGGGGACTCACGTAAAACCCAAAAGAAGACATTGGAAGCCCGGGGCCTGAGTTAAGTGCAAGGCGGCCGGCCACCCGGCTGTCGCTTCTGATAGTCGCATTCGATCGAACTCCGGTTAAACTTTAAAGCCCCCGGAGCCTGCTCCTGCCACCAGTCTCCTTCCAGAGTTTTCTACCTTCGGTGGGCACGCGGTCATAATGGACACTGGGAGCCGAGACTGGGGGAGGCAGAGAGGAATGTCATAAAAGTGACTAAATCAGATGAGAACGGTTCATGTGCCTTCTCAGCAGCAATTTAAAATTCAGAAGTGTTTAGCAGCCATTTACAACGAAGAATGAAAGGGGAGTAAATGATCACCAACTTCCTGAATTCAGATACCTCAGCCCCAGCGCCGCCAGGCCGGGTCCCCTGCTCCCCCGGACAGGACGCACAGGTTCCCAGCCCACAGTTACACGGAGACGAATCCTACACGTAGCGGCCAAGTCCCACAACCTTTGGAAACCATATTTTACAGCGTCCCTGCCTACCCTCCTTTAACTAGTTTAGGCTCCTCTCCCTCACCCCGAACTGAAATACATTAAAAACAAACAAACAAAAACAGAGCCCAAACGCCTTCAGAGGAGACTGACCTTTAGGAAATCATTTACTTCGATTTACCTGGTGGGGGGGGGGGGGAGCGTCAAGATCCATTCCCACACAACTCCTCCTGCCCCGGGCAAAACTCTCACGAGCCTGCTGGGGTCACGCCTGTCGGAAGAAATCCTTCTTGTGAGCGAAAGGGAGCGAGACGGGTATCAGAGCTCCTGCCAGGGCTGAACCCGCGGCCGCTAGACTCGCCGATGACAGATCGGCGCTGATAACCCCGCGCCGTCTAGTTCCAGTCCCCGGGCCGGCCGAGGACCGTATCAGTTTGTACACAGTGGTGATAACCACGCCGAGGGAGCGGAGAAGGGGTGTGTATGTGGGGGTGGCTGGGAAGCGATCTGTCGCGCTGGGTGCAGAGAAGGTGACCCCCCCACTTTCCAACGACATACCTGAAACTTACCTGAAGTTTTCCAGGGAAACCTCAGGGCCAAGGGGACACCCCAAACTCGGAAAGCATTTGCGTGCGCCACAGGCGCAACTGGCGTGGAAGCCTTTTCCCACCCTGTGCACCTCATTGACTGACTAACGTGGGTACACCACGACCCCAACGAAAGGTCCCAAGGGCTAGCGGAGGAGTGCCGACGTGAACATCCCGAGACTTCCTAAGAATGTAATGTATTTCTAAAAATCAGAGCCCAGATGGGGAGCTGGGCACCCGTGTTCCTTCTTCCCCACATCAAGGAAGCCTCCACCCCGAGGGCCAGCACGACCCTGTGAACTCCGGGGTCTAGAGGAGAGAGGTCGGTCGGTCGGGGGAAAGTTTAAGGTCGATCACACGCGAATGTAGAGCAAGCAGCTCCTCTGACGTGGAGGGAGGATCGGGGAAGGCCAGCGGAGCAAACTTCCCCCTCTCCCTCCCTCTTCCCTCCCCCTCCCCCTCTCTCTGGGGGCGCCCTGACCCGGGAGCTGGCGCCTCCCTCCCACGGCGGTGGCAGCGCGGAGCTGCGCGCAGCCAGTCCCTCCGGTGCCAGTACCCCCCTGCCCCGTGAGTGCGCGCGTAACGGGGGGCGGGGGAAAGCGCTCCGCCTAGGGAAGGTTGGCTGTGAGTCGCCTGCCGCCGGGTCTGGAGTTGGGCCACGTCCACCCCTCCCCCGGCGGCGGCCCCGGGCTCGGCGCCCCCTGGATGCACTCGCCCCCACTCCAGGACCGTGCTGCTGGCTGAGCTCACACCCGCGGGCTGCGTAGCGCTCATTGTCTGCCGGGGCGGCGCGCTCCCCTCCCCTCCCCTTCCCCCGCCAGCCCCTATCCCCTCCCCACCCTCCTTTTTCCCCTCCCCTTGTCCCCTCCCTCTCTCCTCCTCTCCTCCTATTCACCTCCAGCGCCCAGCTGCTCGCACAGCGCAGTTCCGACCCGCAGCCTGGCACCCTTCGGCGCGCGCTGTTTGTTTAGGGCTCGGGAGTCCAATCAGGAGCGCGGGCTGCAGTTTCCCGGCGCAGCGGTAAGAGGCGCCTCCTCTCTCCTTCTTATTCCCCGGCCGCGCCGCGCCGCGCACACCCCGGACTCGCGCTCGCCGGTCGGCGCCCTCGGCCTCTCCGCGCTCGCTCGGGAGCACCCTCCGCCGCGGCCGTTCTCCATGCTGTTCCGCTCCCACCCGAGGTTCGGCTACTTTTCTTTTTCTTTTTCTTTTTTTTTTCCTGCTCGTGTTCTGCTCTCCCCTTCCCTCTCCCTCCCTTCCCGTCGTGGGCCGCCGCGGCTTGGCGGCCCGCGGGCGGCGGTTCAGAGGTTGTCTCCCTCTCCCCTCCCGGCCGTAGCGGCTCCCAGGCTACGGGGACACCGCGTACCCACTTCTGAGGTCTCTTCCTCTCTCTCCGAAGCCCTTATCTGCGCGCGGCCTTATCTCCGGGTTATCTCGGCGCGAAGGGGCGGGAGCCCCGGTCGGGCGGGCGGAGAGGCTCCTTTCTGGCTCTCCGGCCCGGGTCTGGCTCTGTGAGCGCGCACTGTAACGTGGCTATGTCCGATGCGCCCGAGCGCTTTGGCGAGGCGGCCCGGAGTGGGCCTGCCCGGGCTGCCTTAGTCTCCCTCTACCCCCCCCCCCCCCGTGTCTTTCCTTTTCTCTCTCCCCTTCCCTCCCTCTCCCTCCCTCCCTCCCTCCCTCTCTCTCACCCTCTCTCTCCCTCCTTTGGGATGTCTTCCTCTCCGGGGCGGCCTCACGCCCCTCTCCTCTGCTCTGAACTCCGATCCACCCCGGGCGGGACGTCCTATTCTGGGGGAACGGTCTCTGGCCTTTCTCTCCGCGGCCGGGGAAGGAGACCGCGGGACGGGGCGAGTGGCCCGGCGGGGAACGCGAGCCGCGTGTAAGGTGTGTGCGGTGCAGGGCGGCCGCGGGCACGCTGGCTGGGCGTGAGCCTCGGGCCCTCGGGCGTCCCCGCACCGCCTCGGGCCGGGAAGATCCGAGACTGCCTGCCGGCCGTCCCGCCCCAGGCCCCACCTTCTCAGGGCTGAGCTGCATTTTTTTTTTTCTTTTTTCCTTCTCTGGGGCTTTTGCGTTCCGTCTAAGTCCGCGCAGTCCGGGGAGCTCTGGGGAGGAAAGCCGCTGCGCCAGGACGCGGCGGTTTCGTTTTCGGAACAGGTTGCCATCCGTGCGCTAGTGATTTTCGAGCTGGGGCAGGCTTCCCACGGAGGCATTCCGGGCGAAGGGCGCCCGCAGGGAGGCGGGGTAAGGCCGCCCCTTAGAAGTGATTTCTGTGTGGGAACGGCCAGGAGGGAGTCCCTGTGGGGAGAGGTGGCGCTTGGCCAGTCACCCCGGGGATCAGGCGCGCGCGAGGATGCAGGATGCTGCGGGGAGGGTGAGCGGACCTGGGAGGGCGGACCTGGGAGGGCGGTTGGTACCAATCTAGGAAGGATTGGTGGCGGCTGCTCAGGCCACAGTCCCCTCTCATTTACCAACTCTCAAGCCCAGGGTCAGAAAAGAGGTCTTTTGGAGAATCTCATTAGTTAGGAAAGGGAGTGGGAGTGAGATGTGGGACAGACAGCCTGCGCCTTTGGGAACCCTTTTTTAATGTCTCCTCCTGTCTCTGTCCGCCGCAGAAGCTAGAAGTCAGCGTGCAGCGGCCGCAGGACCGTGGATGGCCTTGACTGACAGCGGCTGGTGCCTGTCCAAGCGCTTGGAGGCCTCGGCTGCGGATTGCGACTCCGGAGCCTTTCCCTTGCGGGAGCCCTCCACGCCGCCTTCCCCCATCTCCTCCTCTTCCTCCTCCTGCTGCTCCCGGGGCCTCGGCAACTGCAGGACGCCGCAGCTCCTCGACACGGAGGCGGCGGCGGCAGGACCCCCGGCCCGGTCGCTGCTGCTCAGCCCTTACGCCTCGCACCCCTTCGGCGGGACTCCCCACGGACCTCCGGCGGCGCCCGGGGTGCCCGGCCCAGGGAGCGCCCTGCCCAACTGGGAGGACCTCCTGCTCTTCGCTGACCTCGATCAGGCCGCCACCGCCAGCAAGCTGCTGTGGTCCAGCCGCGGCGCCAAGCTGAGTCCCTTCGCGCCCGAGCAGCCCGAGGAGATGTACCAGACCCTCGCCGCGCTCTCCGGCCAGGGCCCGGCCGCCTACGACGGCGCGCCCGGCGGCTTCGTGCACTCGGCGGCGGCCGCGGCGGCGGCGGCGGCGGCCAGCTCCCCGGTCTACGTGCCCACCACGCGCGTGGGCTCCATGCTGCCCGGCCTGCCCTACCTGCAGGGCGCGGGCGGCGGGCCCGCCAACCACCCGGGCGGCGCGGGCGCGCACCCCGGGTGGCCGCCGCAGGCCTCGGCCGACAGCCCCCCGTACGGCGGCGGCGGCGCGGGCGGCGCGGCGGGCGGCGGGGCCGCGGGGCCCGGCGGCGCCGGCTCGGTCTCGGCGCGCTTCGCCTACTCGGCCAGCCCGCCCATGGCCAACGGCGCGGCGGCGCGGGACCCCGGGGGCTACGCGGCGGCCGGCGGCGGCGGTGCGGGCGCGGGCGGCGTGGGCGGCGGCGGCGGCGGCCTGGCCGCCATGGGCGGCCGGGAGCACCAGTACGGCTCGCTGTCGCGGTCGCTGAACGGGACGTACCACCACCATCACCACCACCACCACCCGAGCCCGTACTCGCCCTACGTGGGGGCGCCGCTGACCTCCGCCTGGACCGCCGGCCACTTCGAGGCGCCGGTGCTGCACAGCCTGCAGGGCCGCGCCGGAGGCCCGCTCCCCGTGCCGCGGGGCCCCAGCGCAGGTAAGGGTAGCGCTCCTCGGCCTGGGGGTTGGGGGACCCAGGGCACTGGGGTGTAGAGAGCTACTTCACTGTGTTTGGGGGTCCTGGGAGTGTGTGTGTGTGGGGGAAGGGCAAAAGTCAGCCCGCAGTTGGATTGATGCGGTGGCAGCATTGTTGCGGTGCTTCTGTGTTTCGGATTGTGTCTTGGGTCCTTTCCACGAAAGAGACAGGATGCGCATGGACAGTATGTATATATATGTATATATATGTATATATTTATACCTCGGCGCCTGGAGAAGCTCCAGGAACTTGATGAGTAGTGAATGGGATGGGTACTAGGAAGGCATCAGCCCGGGAGGAAACTGGCAGGGCCCGAGCCCCTTGGGAGACTAGTTTTGTGCAAGTGGAAGAATGAGAGACTCCCTTTGGGGGTAAAATTAGGAGAATGCTGGACACTGGATTCATCCTGTTCTCACAGGCCCACTCAGCCCACCTCTCCAAAGGTGAGGAGCTGTGTTTTCCCCAAGAGGACTGTTTAAAAGGGCTCCAGGTGGGCCAGACAAGGACACCCACACTCCCACCCGTGAGGAAAGAAGACGGGACACATGGGCTGGTCAGCCTTGTGACTAGACTGTCCCGAGAGAAAGCTGGTGGGGGACGCTCTGGCTTGCCCTCAGGCCCAGGCCCGTGTCTGGGGCTCCTACATGTTTTCCTCTCCAGTTCAGCCCACCCATTTTTCAGTTTCCAATCCCACTTATACTGTCATGGCAGTGGCTGGGGCAATTTTTTTTTGGGTGGACTGGGGGAAAAAACAAAACACAAGTGCCAGAATACCTGGAAAGAGCTCATTTTGAAGTGTTTTGTTCCCTGAAGCAGGGGAGGGTGTGAACTGCTGCGCCTGGCCTGCTTAGGTTAGCTTCAGCATTCTGGTGCTTTCACAGGTCCCTCTCACTTTATATCTAACCCACCTGATAGCCTGACAGACTCCTAACACAAAACTTTGTTTGTTTGAAGGGATCTGTGGGAGTCAGAGGAGGCGGGTGAGCTTAAACCATTCTACCTGGTGCTTTCACTCCCCAGGTCTGAGCCCCTCAGCTTTCCATTTAGGGACAGGAAGTTTTCTAGGGGTCCCCTTAGGATCAAGGAGACATTGCCA